AGTAAATGGTGATGGAAGGAAACCTGACTTGGGGTGGTGAACACACAGTACAATATACAGATGATGTATTATAGAATCACCTGAAACCTATATAATTTTATTAACCAATGTCACCCCAGTAAACGTAATTTAAAAAATTAGTAAATAAAATAGAGAAGCCCTCCGGTGCAGGAACAACACTTTCTGGTCACAATATAAATGATGAATTAGCGCAAATTAATATGAGTGAGAATAGTGCTTCCCATCCACTGAGCCATAGATGTGTTAAGGTGTACTAAGATACTGATTTCCTCTGGCCCTTAGGGCTGCTGGTGCTGGGCTGGGCGGCCTGAATCCCCAATCCTCACCCCTCGTGGACAAGTAGCCCGGGCAACTTCTGGGAGCTCGTTAGAAAAGCAGAATTTCAGGCCTCCTCTCAGAATCTGCATTTTCATGAGATGCCCATTTAAGTTTCAGAAGCAGTGCCCAAGACAATTGACTCTGGTCCTGAGCCACCCCGTCCCTTGATCCCACTGTGACGTATACACATCATTCTTCGTTTCTTTATCTGTTTCTTGATTGTGGAAACATCTGGGAAGCACTTATTATCTGAGCTGGAAAGAATGGCAATGCTGTGGTTGCTGCTGTTGTTTTCTAATGGCTTTGGTTTCTGGAAAATGTGGGCACTTCTTCGCCCTTGATTTTGTTGGCTTTGTCCCCATCTCTAATTGTTCATGTATAATATATGACTTCCAGCGAGACTGTAGCACCCTAAGGGACAAGGGCTATTTCATCTTTCAACACTTCCTTATAATTTTTTAGTACCATAAAGCACTGTTTGGCAAAGGAATCCCTGGGTGGGGGGAAGTGTCTAGTTAAAATGCGAATTCTTATTCAGTAGCTCTGAGATTATGCGTTTCCATAAGCTCTCAGGCGATGCTGATACTGCTGGTCCGTGGACTACACTTTGAGTAGCAAAGTTATAGAGTATTCACTGGACTCTTACAAGCTTATGAGGTAGGTGGGCTTGCTGTTCTCCCTATTTCACAGATGAAGTATTTGAGGAGCAGGGGGTTAATGTAGGATGTCCAAGATCCCACAGCTTTTAAGTGATAGAGTTGGATGGACCCACCTTCCCAATGCCGCGACCCTTTAATACAGTTCCTCATGTTGTGGTGACCCCCAACCATAAAATTATTTTTGTTGCTACTTCATAACTGTAACTTTGCTACTGTTATGAATCGTAATGTAAATATCTGATATGCAGGATGTATTTTTATTGTTCTCGGCCCAGAGGTTGAGAACCGCTGCTGTAAGGTGTTTGCCTCTTGTAACCCTTTTGTCCTTTGTGTTTTTTTTTTGTTGTTGTTTTTTAAATATATTTTATTGATTTTTTCACAGAGAGGAAGGGAGAGAGATAGAGTTAGAAACATCGATGAGAGAGAAACATCGATCAGCTGCCTCTTGCACATCCCCCACCGGGGATGTGCCCGCAACCCAGGTACATGCCCTTGACCGGAATCGAACCCGGGACCTCTCAGTCCGCAGGCTGACACTCTATCCACTGAGCCAAACCGGTTTCGGCCCTTTGGTCCTTTGTGCAGTAAAGGACAGAAGAGCACTGAGACTGACCCTATAATGAACTGCTAGAGCAGTCTAGGAGCCGAGACCAAAGTTCCCTCTTTCCTTTGTTGATGGCCATGACTCAGGCAGTATGCTTTAGACTGGCATCATAGTGTCCTAGTCTGTCTGGGCCATTGTAACAAAATACTGTAGGCTGGGTGGTTTACAAACAACAGAAATGTATTTCTCGCAGTTCTGGAGGCTGTGAAGTCCAAGAGCAAGGCACCAGCAGATTCAGTGTCTGGTGAGAGCCTCCCTCCTGGTTCATTGGTGGCATCTTCTCACAAGGAGAAGGGGCTAGGGAGCTCTCTGGGGCTGCTTTTATGACACTATCTCACTCATGAGGGTTCCACCCTATGACCCATCACCTCCCAGGGCTCTCTTCCAAATATCATCACCTGGAGATTAGGATTTCAACAGAGATTAGGATTTCAACACATACATTTTGGGGAAGACCCACACATTCAGTCTATAGCAGCCAACTACGGCCCGCGGGCGGATCCGGCCCGTTTGAAATGAATAAAACTAAAAAAAAAAGAGACCGTACCCTTTTATGTAATGATGTTTACTTTGAATTTATATTAGTTCACACAAACACTCCATCCATGCTTTTGTTCCGGCCCTCCGGTCCAGTTTAAGAACCCATTGTGGCCCTCGAGTCAAAAAGTTTGCCCACCCCTGGTCTATAGCAATGATGAATAAACATTTTGTACTAGTGGGACACTTTAACATCTTAGTAGCTGCAAAATAAGTTTCATCTGAGATACTTATTCCTTTAGATCCAATGGTTCTCCATCTTGGCTCACTTGCTGCACTTTATTTTTTATTTTTATTTTTAAAATATATTTTATTGATTTTTTACAGAGAGGAAGGGAGAGGGATAGAGAGTTAGAAACATCAATGAGAGAGAAACATCGATCAGCTGCCTTCTGCACACCCCCTACTGGGGATGTGCCCGAAACCAAGGTACATGCCCTTGACCGGAATCAAACCTGGGACCCTTCAGTCCGCAGGCTGACGCTCTATCCACTGAGCCAAACCAATTAGGGCCACTTGCTGCACTTTAAACACAGAGACTTCTGGGCTCCCCCGTGAAGGCACTGAATCAGAACCTTTGAAGATGGAAGCCCAGGCGCCTGAGTTTTTTTCAAAGCACCAGAGATAATTACAGTGGATGATGATGATTTTAAAAAATCACTGCTGTCTTCTTTGTCTTTCCATTCTTGCCCAGCCAATTCTTACATTGGAATAGCTAACATTTTTTAGAATTTACTGTGCGTCTGGCAATTACTCAAAGTGTGGACAGGGTACTAAGACGTTTGCTAGAAAAAGTCAGCATCTCAAGCTGCAATCCACACCCACTGAATCAGAATTTGCACGTTAACGAGACCCCCAGGTGATTCCTGTGCACGTGGAGTTTGAGAACCACTGCCTTACATGCCTAATCTCATTCCATTTTATCTTTCCCCCCACACTGTGGCGGCATTTTCCAGATGTGAGGGCACTGAGCTGTAGGGAAGTTAAGTACTTGCCTAAGATCGCATAGCTAGGAAGAATTCAAACTAGGTCCCACCTGGCTCTAGAACCTGTGCTCGTAACAGAGGTTCTAGTGATTCTCATAATTTCGTGGGTGGAGGATTTTCTTAGAGAGCTTATGAAAAATACTGATCTTCATACTTCCTTCCCTGAAATTCTGCTCCAGCCCATCTGGGTAGGGCTGAGAAGTCAGCATTTTAACCCACCCATCCTAGGGATTTTGAGGCAGGTGGTCACAGAACACAGTTTGCAAAGCACTGCATTGTAGCCTACTTTCTGAATGTGCTTTTGGGAGGGGAGCCACCCTGTATTTCCAGAGCAATTCAAAAGGGTGGTGTGGTTGATAGTAACAAAGATTTTTCTTTACTTAGATGGGCCCAGATCCCCTGGAAGCCTCTGGAACCATCCCAGGTTTTGGGAGGAGCCGGAGTTCCACTATAGCTGGACCCAAAGCAAGGGTTGGGTTGAGTACCAGCCAGACACTGAAGTCAGGAAGGGAAAGATAGGCATCTATTTAAGAACAAAACCAGAAGCTTGTTATTTTTCACAGTCTACAAAATTGAACGTAGGCTGGGAGGTTGGCTGCCTTTTAAAGTTTGTATTATGATTTCACGTATAATTTAAACCACTGGATGGCTGTAACTCTAGCTCACAAATTGTGTACACCCTGAACACAGTGAAAATCAGCCAGCACAGCAGAATTAGTCTGTTTATGCTGACCCCCTTGGGGCATGGCGGAATTCAAGAACGGCGAACAATCACTAGCTATAGTGGGCGGACCTTCTCCTCTCCAATTGGATGTCAACAGAATATATTTTGAACAGACTTTTCTGACATAACACTCCACTTCTAAAGAGCTCAGTGTGTGACACACACATTCACATTCCCTTCTTTTGAGAGAACTAAGGGGAAAGAAGTAGAAAGAATAAGTAGTAGTAAATTATTTTGAGTCGTAAGACTCACCATTTTGAGTCAGTTCATTCATGATTTTATTTAACAGCCCGTATTGAACATTTATTATACTATTGAGACATTTGGAGCCACTGAGTCTATCACAACTTCAATCCTCAAGATAATACAGTCTCCCAGAGGTAGGGGGTGGGGATAGGAGCTAAAACACAGAAATACACAACTTTTACACATTGTCTTAATGAAGGAAATGCCTCCCCAAAATACACCCCCCTGGGATGTATCTTTTTACAATAAGGAGGAAAGTTGGGGCTCAGAAAAAGTGGTGACAGTGGGCAGCCCCCACTTTGGGAAAGCCTTCGTACTCAGTGTCAGGCGCAGCTCCCAGCAGTGGCGGGCTCTGAATAGTTATCTCAGACTCACAGGCAAGGAGGGGCAGCCCTAGGAAGCTACAAACATTCCCAAAGTCGCACTGGGTGAACATGACATAATCAGAACCTACGTTTGTCAGACCCTAGAGCAGCTGTCTTTTGAATTTGCCACCTTATTTATATGGTTGAGAAGGTGAGTAAAGAGAAGAAAGGAAAATCCATACATGAAGAAAATTTGACATAAAAAGCAACACTTCTAATGATTGCTGCTGGGTTTTTAGAAATGCAATTCTATAGTTAGTGTTGGATGGAGTTTGGTAATTTTCTAGGTGAGTAGATGGCCCGGGCAAGGCCTGATGGGTGATTTCATATACGACCTGGAAGAGGGCCATATCATGAGATTTAGGGACGGCCTTCACGGTTGATAATGCCTCATTTATTCAAAGGGGATTTTGGCATTCTGTATCCTGCTGGATTCTGGGATGAGTTTTGTTCAAAGGCCATAAACCCAGAAAGACAGATGACATCAAGGGGGCTGAGAACATGACATACCACTTCAGGTGCTGAGTCGTCATAGCTTACCTGAGGATGTTGCATTTCCTGGGCGGATGGTCTACGTTTTTTCTCTGAACATCACGGTGCGTTGGGGCTGGAGTCGAGTCTGGCAGTCTATGCATCTTGTCTGTCTAGAGTTTCTGTAAGGGGTGGGAATCCAAGGATGTGTGAATCAGTTATGCTATCATAACAGATAAGACTCCCAGATCTCCATGTTTATGATAACAAAAGGTTATTTCTCACTCCTGTGTCCAACATGGCTCACTGTCACTCCACATCTGCCTGCTGGGACCAGGCTGATAGAGTGGCCTCTCTTAGAACCTGTTCGGTCATTGAGACAGAAGGAAAAGAAAGATGGCAAACCATGTCACTTTTGCCCACTTTTCATTGGTCCACTGAGCCCGTGGCTATTCTGTAGTTTAATGGAGCCAGCTTTTAGAATCCTCTCATAGGGAAGAGAATCAGAATATTTGGTGATGAGTGAATCCAATGTACTACAGTGAGTAAAGAGCTCTGAGGATCAAATTTGGAATCTAAATTTAGGGGTCAATGTAATGGATGAGAGCAAGGGCAGAATTACAAGGAAAGACCATGGAGGCTAGAATCCACCAGAACTGGAGGAGCACAGGAATTTGGAGGTAGGGTGGGGTCAAGGGTGATCACCATGGTACCCTAGGTGTTTGGGTCCACTGACCGGTGACTGGCCGGGTTGTGAATGAGCTAAAGGTTCACAAATGTCTAGGCTTGGGAAGAGAATTCATTAGGGTCCATCAGGGAAATGTGAGCTATCCATTTTGTGTTTGCTTGGATCAATGCCATCCTCTCTCCTCTCACTGTCTTGTCTTTAGCTCTCCAGATGCTGATCACCCTGGGGAAACTGAAGCAGCATGTTACACCAGTGAAGGGTTCTACAACATTTCCCTTGTCTACAACCTTGGAGGGTCTTTTTTAGAGTCCTGAATGCATTTGTCTTAAAATAGGTAACTTATATTGGACAAAAGCCTTCCAACTAACTTTAAAGGACTTTTGATTAAAAGATGGTACATGTAGGAGAGCCTTGCAGATAATTACTTGTCTGGGATAAACAATGATTTACAATGAGCAACAGCCAAGATTATTAAATTAGCTTTGTTTGTTTTTTTCATTACCTGGAGTGCTATCAAGCTAAAATCTTTGCTACGAAGAAGAAAAGGAAAATAATTTTCCCAAAGAGGGAGTCAGAGTAGGCAAAGGAACACAGGATTCAATTCTCCCCGTTTTAGAACTTGAGAAAAACTATAAAGTGAGTTTGATTCAGCACTCTTTACCATTCCTTTATTTACTGTTCATTTCACTAGGTTTACCTCCTTCGAAGTGCCCAGTCCCCTCTTGTATCCACTGCAGGGCTCTACCCAGGTCTACCTCTCAAGGCAGTGCCTCAGTCTCCAAAATTCTGTCTTTTCTCCACTATCAAATTTACCTTTCAGTTCCCTGGGTTGGGGCCCTTTGTTGGGGAGTTTAAGAGCAGTACTGAAGGAATCTGTGAATAGACTAATTCAGACTAAAGTGTAAGAGACTGGCAACCAGCCAGTATGTTAACCTCTCCTAGTAATATTTGCCTTTCAAAGCTTCTACTGCTGTACTGGTGGAATATGAGGCAATGGGGCTTGCTACTGGGGAGTTCCTTTGTTAAGGGGACTTTTCTAGATGATTCCTAGTCTCGTTTAAACAGCTTGTATTATTACACATTCCACAGCTTGCTAGCATCCAGCTTGACACAATTCAGGCAGCCCAGAAGCTGATGACTTTTGCATAGAACTGGGCCATTTTAAGCAAGATAGTGTAAATTTCAAGTGTCTGGCCTGGCTTGGCCAAACAAACAAACAAACAAACAAACAAACAAACACTAGTATTATAACACCTTACATATCATCAGGCTTCATGATGAGAAAATAATGAACTTTCAGTTCCACATGGATTAACATAGCTAATAGTCAAGTCTATGATGGAGGCAGGGCAGGTTTGATATCCTGCCCATTTTATGGATGTGGAAACTGAGATTTAGAGACATGAAGTGACTTACCTAAGGTCCCATGGCTAGTTCATCTTCCCATCCTATTCCAGTGCTTTTCCCTTGTGAAGGGCTGTTCCTTCAGCCTGTGGCACTGCTGCAGTTTGAAGCAGACAGGACAAAGATGCAGGATGGTGGGGCCATGCCATCAGTCAAAGCCCCTTGATGTTTGGCCCCACCCAGGACACAGCATGTTTTGCTTCAGGGGATGACCTCAGCAAGTGGGGTGGGGAGGATGGGGTGGGGGTAGTGTTTTCTATATTGGTACTCAGCATCTGTGTGGGTATTGATTTCTTTCTCAAAGGGGTCCATCTGCCTTCTATCTAATTATGTAACTAATCTTCACCCCGATCCTCTGAGGATTTTATCCGTGTTCTATAAAGGCACAGGTTTCCAGGGTTACCAGAAATCCAGAGATTGAAGCCTTTCTCTGGCTTTCTTACAGAGGTCCTTATCAGTGGCAGTCTTACTGTTTTCTTCTGTTTATAGTTAATCTGTGAAGAATAACCCCCGAGAAACTGCTTCGTGCAGAAGAGGATGCAAAATAAATTATCGACTCCATGCTCTCCATGGCAGTTATAAATAACCAAGTCCTGCAAGGCCAGTGCCAGGAGGTTCCGTACTCTGCTCTTGGAACCAGCAGATCTGGGACAGGTCTCAGTGTATCAATAACTAGCTGTGTGGTCCTGACCTACCCATCTAATGGTTCATGTCTGAGTCTCAGTTGCTTCCTCGGTAAAATGGGGAAATAACTAGATTTATGAATGAGGATTTAATGAGATGATTGTCAGACAGGGCTTCTCAGACTTCACTGTGCATAGAAATCACTGGTGGGAAATGCAGGTTAAAATGCAGGTTCTGAATCACTAAGTCTGAGGTGGGGTCTGAGATCTAATTTTTATCAAACTCCCAAAAGATGGGACCAAAGATGAGAAACACTGTCTAAAAAATGCGGGTACAGCATGTGGCCACAGCCACTGGAGGGCCTGAATCCCAAAGTGCCTAGAAATCAGAGCAGCGTTTAACCGCCCCCCCTCCCCCCCAATTCATCTTTCTTCATATTTAAGAACTGCCACAAAGGAGGTTTAAATGCAACATTTGCTGTTATTTTCACATTACAGAAGTAATGAGTGGGGTTTGTGGACACAAGGCTAACTCACATCTCATACTCTTCCTGGCTGACATTCAGACTGATTAACAGTGCCAGGGGCTTAAAGGTTTGAGAATGTCCCAGCAGCGTAGCGCACAGGCAGCTAAATTAAACTCTACGCCCAGGACCTGCGTGGTTAGAATAATGAACTATTCCAATCTATCTCGAAGACCTGTCAGTGGGGAGGGGGTATTGTAGGAGCAAGAGGAAGCCAAATTGGGGAAGCAGAAATTTTATTACAACTATAAGAAGTCCCACCAACTGATTACATATTAAGTAAATTGTTTGGGATGGTGAGAAATTTGCTATTTCAATTTGCCTTGAATGTTTGATGGATTTTTTAACCCAGAGAAAAACTTCCTTTTTTTTCCATTTGGAGAAAGTGGGAAAAGTCTCATTATAGTCAACATCATGTCCCTCTGTATTTTCACTCCCCAATTTTCCACCCCATACTCAGGGACTGGACAGTCTCAGGAAGGGGTGCAGACCAACCATGCTACTTGCAACCCAAGACCTGGTCATCGTCAGAATGCTGAGCTAAAATTGCACGGTGCGTTATGGTTTAAAAAGCACTTTTACTTACATTATATTATTTGATCCTATGACTGTCCTTTAAGCCAAATAACATTATCTCCATTATCAATTCGGGGGAACTTATGAGATATATTCACGTTGATACTGAAAGTGACAGAGCTGGAAGGCAAAGCCATCTTTTGACCACTTATTCATTATTTCTGCCACAGTAATGCATCTGTCTTTATTCTAGAACAGTAGCTTTTTAACCCTGACTCACATTAGATGCTTTTAAAAAATAGTGGTGCTCAGTTCCTATCTCTGATCAATTAAATCAGAATCTTTGGGATGAAGCCAATATCCATCTGCATTTAAAAAAAATCTGAGTGATTCTAATCCGGAAGTGAGCAATCACCGATCTGAAAGGTCTTTCTTTCTTTCTTTCTTTCTTTCTTTCTTTCTTTCTTTCTTTCTTTCTTCCTTCCTTCCTTCCTTCCTTCCTTCCTTCCTTCCTTCCTTCCTTCCTTCCTTCCTTTCTTCCTTTCTTCCTTTCTTCCTTTCTTCCTTTCTTTCTTTCTTTTTTTCTTTCTTTTTTGGTCAAAAGGAAGGTATTTGTTTACTCAAGGCAAGATATTATCCTGGTACTTGGTTCTTTGTGTGATTTCTAGCACCGAATTCAGTGCCTGGCAGAGTCAAGAAAAAGAACCAAAGTTACTACCTACTATGGGTCAGGTGCCCTGTTAATCATTTACTAGTAACTGGTCTACACCTCAGTGAGATTGGTGTCACTACCCCATTTTATACATGAAGGCACTAACGTTTGCCAAAGTTAAATAATTTATTCCAAATCATGCCACTTGCAAGTATCGGGGCTGAGATTTGAATCTACTTCTGCCAGTGCCAAAGCTCAACTGTGTTCTGTACTGGTGGTTTTAAACCCTGGCTGAGTCTGATCATCTGGACTGGAGTAGAGACCAGATGTTGGTGTGTTACACAGCCTCCTGGGCGATCCTAACATGTAGTCAAGGTTGAGCGTCACTGCCCCACACCCTTCTGCCTTTCCAACATGCTGAGACTACATTCCTTGAACTTGAAAGGTACTGGGGAAGGCCTTCCTTAGGCACATAGATATATACACACCTGCACACACATTAGTCTACACATATTTCTCCCCCTCCCTTCACCCAAAATTGGGAGAGATAAAGGCTCTCATTCCAGAGGGAATACTTTTTAGTATAGGAAATCCCAAGCCTTTCCTGAGAATTTGTGCCGAGGGTCTGGGTATCTCAAGGGTAGCTGGGCAGAGGGAAGTGGCGCAGAGGGGTTAGGAAAGGGTATAGAAAGTTGAGCTGGGGGAGAGGGGGGTCAGTCACAAAGACAAATTAGACACCTTCACAGCTTTACTAGGAAGCAGCCCAGTCTTGGAAGGCAGATGTGATCATCTAGACCAGGCTGTGAAGGGAATGGCCTTGTGACTGGGAGATCATGAAAAGGTTAGAAAACACCTCATTCAATCCCTGGGTCCTGGCAAGATCTCTGGAAGAATGAATTCGTGTTCTGAGAAAAATGCAGCAGATGTTCCTCCTTGGGTCGGGTCCTGGCTCTACTAATCTGCAGTAGGTCCCGTTTGCATATGCAACACTGTCTGGGTTTCATGGAGGAGGGAGTGCATTTCAGTCTCAGGTAAAGCGATTCTTAAGTGCTGCCACTGCTTTCAAAAGACATGTCTAGGTCACTGTTATTTAGATTCTAATTAAGTGCTGCAGAAGAGAGAGAGAGAGAGAGAGAGAGAGAGAGAGAGAGAGAGAGAGAGAGAGAGAGAGAGAGACATCTCCCTATTGGTATTCCTACAAAGTTAGAAGAAAACACAATGTAATTTTTGTTTGAAATGTGACCCAATGAAAAATTCTTAGTCAATTGCATTCAATTGGCTGCGCTCCACCTTAGTTGAAACAGAGATGTCAAGCTTTAAATACCAGACTATTCGTATCTGAGGGTCACAGCACAGCGGCACCAACTTAAGGGCCAAAATAGATTGGATCCAAATTAATTTACTTTTGGCCAAAGATTATATGCTGCCTAAGCAGAAGGAAAATCATTGCTTTAGCGAAACACTTTGGGTCTCCTAAGCCAACATGTTGGAAAGGTCTCCTAACCTCTGTTAATGACATTTGAATTCAATTCAAGGAATGTTAATTGAAGGAATACTTCATTGGAAGATTCAGAATGGGGTAAAAAGGAGTCCTAATCATTTGTTCATCAAACATTAATCAAGCCATTACTATGTGCCCGGTACTGGCCTAGGCTGTTCTCTCCATCCTCCAGGCTTCAAATCCAGCGGGAATACCCCCAATATTTCCTCAGTATCTCCCTGCAAAGTAGGAACAGTATTTCTCATACCTGGTGTACAGATCAGGAGAAAGAGAAGGAAGTCAGCTGGCACGGGCTTTCCTCTTGTTAGCTCCCCATTACTCCTTCCTCATGCCGACCGGAGCCACATGAGGAATCAGACCCTAATAAACCCAGCGTGTTAGTACTTCCTGAACATTTTGGATGGTTTAGCTACAGTGCTTTTTGGAGTTCTTCAGGTAATGGTGATACTTGCACACTTCCTCTGTGGGGTTAGTTCATTTTATAACTAGGAAAGGGGAGGAGATTTACACTGATCTGGTGACCCCTTGGTTGATCTCTTAAAGCCACAGAGACCTCTTTCTGGATCCCAAACCTTGTAGGGAATTACTGGGTAATTTCATTTAGAGAGGGGTAGTACATTATAGCAAGAGAAAATCTATCATTCGTTTTCCCATTATTCTAATGTAACTCACTTAACTGAAGCAAGAATGCCAGATTTTATTTTTTAATCCTCACTAGAAGATATTTTTTCCATTGCTTTTCAGAGAGCGTGAAAGGGAGAGAGGAGGGGAAGAGGAGAGAGAGAAACATTAAAGTGAGAGAGACACATGGCTTGGTTGCCTCCTGCATGTGCCCCGACTAGGGCCAGGGATCGAATCTGCAACCGAAGTATGTTCCTTTGACCGGGAATTGAACTCGCAACACTTCAGTCCTTGGGCCGATGCTCTAACCACTGAGCAAATCTGCCAGGGCAAGAATGCTGGATCTGACCTTCCACCCAATAAGACATTTGAATTCCATAGGACTCCATCAGGCCACGGCAGGGTAAAGTAGGAGGCAGCAGGGGTCTGGGCTGATCAGTGGGGTGGGGCTGGGGAAGGGGGTTAAGCCAAAGATGCTTAAGAGGAGGATATCGATGGACAGAGACAGAGAGAAGTCAGGGGTTTCGAAAGTCTAGACGGAAGTCAAGGAGCGAATGGGTAGCTCTGGTCAGAAGTAGGCTAAAAGTGAGAAATCTGCCACAGAGGGCCAGGGCACTACTAGCTGCCGGGTCAGGGTCAGACTGGGGTTCTTGGAGGGGAGGAATTTTTGCTGCTGTCGAGGCAGGAGTAATGTTAGCATCTGGGTGGATGTGTGGCCACAGATGGGAGCTGAGAGGTG